GGTGTTGGGTCAACGGTTGGACTCAATGATCTTAGAGGTCTTTTCCAACCTTAATGATTCTATGATGTTATGATTCTATGACTGTGGTAAGTAGAAATATTTAGCTGGTTTTATTTATTTGTTAATCTCCTGTTTCTTCAAAGCTTTTAGTTACAAGCTACACTAGTTCATGAACAATTGTCTGTTTTACATAGAGATTACATTTTGGGAGAACAGATAGTAATGGAGACTAAGAAGTGTTGGTGTAATTTTCCATGAGCTAGTAAATATGTTTTATTTGCATGCCTTTGGGATCTGACAGCCTTTTATGGGAAAAAAAGAAAACTGACATTGGTAAAAGTGTGTTTCACATTGCTAATTCAATGTATCTCCAAAGTTTCTGAAATGTCGGGGGGGGGACGACGAAAGGAAGTGAGCAGTGTGATCCAGTACTGTTTGTATGAGTATCTAACAAAAAATTAGTTCTAGTCTGAAGTTACAGATAGTAGAGTACTGGTGATTTTTACCATGAAACTTACAGCTGTGTCAAAACCAGCTCTTATTAAACTGCTCAGAACTGACCCTGCTGGTTTTTTTTTCTTTGACAGGTTCATATCGGTACTACAGGGCTAATTGTGACTCCACCCCCTAGCAGCCCAGTCACAACAGGGCCTTCATTTACCTTCCCATCAGAAGTTACCTACCAAGCTGCTCTCGGTGTAAGTACCATTTCAGAAAACTCAGCCTTCCCATGTATCTTTGGTACAATCCTTTTTTTTTTCTCAAGTTCTGATACACTGATTTGAAATGATGGTTTTATGATGATTGTCTATGTGATAGACTGGTATAAATTGAACTATAGCAAAAGCATTATTGATACAATAACGTTTGCATCCTGTCACACATACCCGTTTCTCCAGCTTTCCTCTGTCATTTCTCTGTAGTAAACACAAGAAGCACACTTCCTTCCAGAACAGTGTTTCTTTTCAGCATGAGTAGGAAAGAGATTATGCTGGGGGGGAGGTTAGGGGAAACAAGCAAGATCTTACAGAAAAACATCAACTTGAGACCACAGCTGCCAGATATTTCTGTCTTGCTTAAGTCAGTATTATCCAGATTCTCTGAAATAAGTTTCAAAACTCTGCTTTCTTCTAATTAAATAAGATGATTTTAGTTGTGTGTATGTCTGTGGCAGATGAAGAACATATCTAGCATGTCTAAGTTAGGTTCTTGGAGATCAATATGAAAAACTGTTGTAAATGGCCGTCTTTTAAAGGAAGGAATACATTGCAATGCTGTTTCCTTTGGACGAAGAAAATGACATTGTCTTCAAAAAGTGCAGGATTTCATTCCAAAACCAACTGAAATTCTTTATTTTGCTATGCTTGTGGTGGAGAAGCTCTGGAACGTCCTGTAGCATACTGCACTTACCAGAGCCTGACCTTAACTGCCATAAAGATTGTGGATACCAGTTTTCAGAGATTTTCAACTTAATAAGCCTTTATTTTGATCATAGGAATTATCAAAATTTAATTCTTGTTTCAAGTAAAAAAATTTTGCCCCTAACCTTTGGGGGGGGGGGGGGTCACGGTTTTTTAATAATAAATCTCCACTTAGTTAAAAAAAAAAAAACAACCAAACCAAACAATCCAAACAAAAAACCCCAAGGCTTGATCTTGTTTAGGTGTCTAATTATCCTTGCAGTCTTTTAAAGCAAGTAAAACATGATGAATAGCCTTGCTGCTAAATTTGTCTGGTTTTGTTTTCAACTTTCAGCACTTGGATCATTTTACACATTCGTCTGCAAAATCGAAGGCAGAATTGTCTGTCTTCTATTATCAACTTTTTGTTGTTTAAGTAAATGCTTAGGTGTGGCTTGGTCGCAGCTGAGAGGTTCATTTTAACAACTTTCTTTGGGACTCTAAGTTATGTTTTTCAATCCTTAAAATTATGATGCTGTTATTTTCTGAATTATATCCAGTACTTCCTTCTGGCGTGGTAAACACATGGTAAGTGCATTCCAGAACTGGGTACAGTACTGCATGGTCATTTTCAGTGATGAAAATATTGATAGTATGACCCTTTTACTTTTATCCTGTTAGTCTGATGTTTATATCTTGAGAATTTGCATCCATTTATTTGGCCTGAGTGTAGCACAAAGTTTATGTTCAGCTAAATATCCACCATGATCCCACAAATTTTCATTGTCAGTAGTGATGTAATAATTGCTCTCATCCAAGTAAATGCATTTCCCATTCTTTGTTCTTCAGACAGAAGACATTACTATTGACAATTATACAGACAGTGTGCTTTTGCCCTGCCTTACTGAATAATGCAGGTTGTGCTGTAGCAATGCTTTGTCCGTTTATTGTTAACGACTTCTTCAATCTGTGGATCATCTGTGCAATCCTAGTGTTAAATGTATGTTAATCTCAAACCAATTAATAATCTCCTTATATTTAGATTCATATTTTAATGTCACAGAGTGGTTGAGGTTGGAAGGGACCTCTGGAGGTCATCTAGTCTAAGCTCCCTGCTCAAGCAGGGCCACCTAGAGCCAGTTGTCCAGGATGGTGTCTAGATAGCTTTTGAGTATCTCCAAGGATGGAGACTCCACAACCTCTCTGGGCCATCTGTGCCAATGCTCAGTCACCCTCACAGTGAAAAACTTTCCTGATACTCAGACTGAACCTTCTGCGTTTCGGTTTGCATTTCACTGGGCACCGCTGAAAAGAGCATGGCTCCATCATCTTTGTACCTTCCCTTCAGGTACTTATATACATTGATGAGATCCCCCTGAGCCTTCTCTAGGCTGAACAGTCCCAGCTCTCAGCCTTTCCTCGTAGGAGAGATGCTCCAGTCCCTTAATTATCTTAGTGGCCCTTCGCTGGACTCTCCCCTATGTCCATGTCTCTCTTGTACTGGGGAGCCCAGAACTGGACACAGTACTCCAGGTTTGGCCTCATCAAGGCTGAGGAGAGGGGAAGGATCACCTCCCTCGACCTGCTGGCAAGACTGCTCCTAATGAAGTCCAGGATACCATTACCCTTCTTTGCCACAAGGGCACATTGTTGGCTCATGTTCAACTTGGTGTCCACCAGGAAGGACCCCCAGGTCCTTTTTTTGCATATGAGGTGTACATCTAATAGTAGAAACAATTAGCTGCTTATATACTAATCCATGTAACCTTTTATACTTCTTTCATCCTGTCCTTCAGAAAATACCTGTGAGAACTGAGCAAACAAAATCAGTTTTGGTATAATTTGTGCTGTTAGGCAGAATACAAGTCTAGCTAACATGTATGCTGCAAACACTGGGTAGTTGATTTGATTTGTGGATGAGATACGTTTTGGAGAGGATGGGGTAGGCAGGATTCAAAGCATAATTTCAAAAGTTCTGTCAGAAGTTGCTCTTTTTTTTCCTCTCAGTAACACACACTTTTGTTTGTTATTAAGAATCAGTAGTTCTTTCTTCGATGCCAACATGGAAAAATACTTTATTTTGGTGCTGGTGCAAAGTCATTAAACCACCTTGGGTGCTTTAGTTGCATAAGCTTGTTCAAAAGCGATCTCGCCATTGGTACCCACGGGAATTAAATTGCAGTGCTAAATGCAGCATGGAGTGAAACTCCTGCCACACGATCGTCCTGTATCCTGGAGCGCTACTTTCTCTTTGTGATAACCATGTTCCTGGTTATGTTTCCAGTTACGCATGTAATTCCCATTGAGAATTTGAATTATTCTCTGCCACCCTTTTTAAAGTCAATAACCTTCTGTACATAATGATCTGTTTCTTCTTGACTTGTTTTCAGCATGACTAAAATACAAGCTGGCAGCTCAGGCTTACAGTCAGATCGTTCCTGTGTTCTTTTACTATAGATTATATTAGATGATGATGCAGTTTATAGTCACGGACTGTGAAGTGTGTCTTTTACATCCACTTTTCCTCCTGCTTCATAAACTCCTGTTTTAATTCTAGAAATATGCAAAATGGTTCTGACAGGTCAAGAGAGAAAGTGATGTTCTTGTCTCTCTAGATGTTTCCCTTCTGGAAATACCCTTCCTGACATTCTGAGCAGTAATTTTAAGCTATGGAACAATTGTGATTGTATGATTTAATACATCAGAAGTGGTTGGTTTGAGTCCTTTTGCTTTTGTATTTTTTGCTTTTGTAAGTATAAACTTCTGCATTTCTCTAAGCTTCTCCCTTTAGCTTTTTTTTCATTTCTGAATGCTAAGCAAATGACAAGGGAGTTGGATTGGAACAGGGAGATTTTCTTTTTATCATGAAGATGGTTTAATTGGATCTTCCTGTCAATCATTTTGGTGTTTATAACACTATTTAAAGTAGTTGATTGTTCTTTGAGAGCAAGCTGTTTATACAACTTTTTTTACTTCATGCCAAACTCAGATTAAGGGAGAAAGAAGAAATCGGAGAGGATGAGCATGATTCCCCATCAGTGAAGAAGAGAAGGATATATTCCTTTACAGTAGTCTTGAATTTATCCACCTTTGCTACATTTATCTGTCCTGAATCTAGAAGCAAAGAAGAGCTAGTATCTTCTCTTATCTTCTGTAAGAAAGATGGCTTTTTTATTGTTAAGAGGAGATATTTTGAGCTGTCCTGTTGAGTAGCAAGATTCTCTAAGGCAGTTGAGATTAATTCCTAGCCCAAAGGAGCCTGTGAGTCTTTTATCTGTGTACATGTATAGGATCACATTTTAGTTTGTTACGTTGTTATCTTGGGAAATACTATGGTGGTTCAAAAAATGCCAATTGTATTAATTCTATTTTGTCCATAATAATCTTTTGTAGATGCTATTTGGTACCAAATGTTGTATTAAGTAAGTAATTTACAAATTTGCAGCCAAAATTGACACAAATAAGACTTAGGAATGAGAGTGCTTGTGTTGAGTGACCATATACACTATCTGCTGCTTGTATCTGCTGCTTGTATCACTTAAGCAAATTATAATTTACATTCAGAAAACCTGTGATAATTTATTTAAAAGTTTTATTTTACAGCAGCAGTTCTTTAGCCTAGTTCTTTAGCCAAGTAGCATTAATTCTTGTTTTGTGTTTTGAGATTTGATTCTTTAAAATTGAAGAAGCTATGAACTGAGACAAACTTCTCATAGCCGAGGCTTTTGACTGTGATATTATCACTTACTGTTCTCTGGGACTTCAAACCACAACTTTGCCCTTAATGGGGGCATTAATTGGTCTGCTCTTCTTGGCCACTGGCATTTTTGAACCTTGTAGGTGCTTAGTATATTTGAAGTTCTTTATAAAATATAAAAGCAGATGTCAAGTTCAGTAGTTGTTGGGTGAAAATATGCATGTACAATTATGTAAGGCTCATTTACTTGGGAGGAAATTCTTGGATGTAATTTATAAGGTAGTTATCTAATGGAGGAGATCTAGTTGCCATAGATTTTGCTGAAAAAACTCTTAAAGGAAGTATGTGATTTGAACCATGGTATGGGAAAAACAGAGACAAGATATACCACAGCAAAGTTAGAGTTACATTCAAAAGCAGCAGAAGAAAAACAGAATGTAGCAACAACAGGTAACTTACCTTCCTTTCATTCTGTCTTTACAGTCTCTTGCGAAGTTAAAAGTATTTTAACTTAGCAATTGACCTAGATATCCATATTGCTACTTCTGCAAATTGAATATGTTGACTTTGAAATGGTGTCTTGGTATGTGCACTTAATTAGCAGAAATAGGTGGTCTATATTTGGATGGCTTACGTTCACTTAACGTGCTGAAGGTTTCAAAAACTAAAAAATCTCTGCTTTTTCTGGTCCTGTTCTCTTGCCCACACACACAAAAAAAATGCCCCTCTATGTTAAAGTATATAAGGTAGTCTGAATTGTTATTAATGCAGGCACAAACTGTGAGGCTTATAGTATACTGATGACATTTAGCGCTCTCTCATGTAGTTCCAGCTGATGCAATAGTGTAAGTCAGGAAGAGGTTTAAGAAAGAACTGTCTGAGTTTTAACCCACAAAAATTCAAATCAACTTCTGTTGGGAAGAGGAAGCAGCTGTAAAAAATGATGAGGTTTTGTATGAGAGGCCTGTTCTTGATAACATATATTTATAGTTTAGGAATTTTGTTAAACATGAGCCTTACTTTGTTAGCCCTCAGGGGATTTTGCAAGTCATATATTTTTTCCTAGACCTTGTGGGAACGAAGACAGTTAATGAATGTTTTTTTCCACTGCTGTGCCTTTTGTTATTCGTTGGGTGAGCTGATTATTGATCTTCAGTTGACTGAGGTGGGAATGCAGCCTAATTATATTTAAACTTAGGAATATGTATGAGTTTCTAGAGCATGAGTATAGGTGCTATTTGAAGTTTTTACATAAATTAAGTATCAAATTATGTAATGTTTCATCTTCCAATTTAAAAAAAAATTATCACTTATTTGCTGTTTCATATGCTTGAAAGTACACTTGTTGTCTGAGAAATAGTTGCAGAAGCTCTCAATTTGTCCCCTTCAACTACCTAAAATAAAAATACTCTTAATTATTTTGATAAGCATATTTTATTAAATCACGTGGGGTTTGCATATATTCTTTCACAGAATGTTGAATATGGGAACCATCAAAACTAGCTTGTGCTCTGTAGGTAGGTATATTTCTCAACAGCTAGAAAAATGGTTACATGCCAGAAAACTTCTTGAAAACTTGGGTAGAGCATTTGGATCTATTTTACCAAGTTGTAGCAGTGGAAGCTGAGGAGCGTTAGTCCTCTAAAGCCTATCAGGTAGTTTATTTAGATTTCTAAGTACTTGCCAGATCTTTAAGAGTTTAATTGGGCTGTGGCTCACTGCAGGTTTCATTACCATAGTAATAGACACGGGGAGGGGAGCAGAACCTGAATAAAGCAGAATAAAATAGAGCTGGGAAGGTGCCTTTATTGCAGCTAAAAATTCAAAGTATATTGTGTGTTGAAATGAATAAAATCCAATGCCCAGCATTTATATCTTTAGAGGTGCAGGAAATGTGGAATAGTGACAACCTTGATATTGTGCATGAATAGGTTTAATTTTAAAGATTTCCAGCTAATCATCTCCTAATGTGGATTTACAGGTTCCACCATGTATAAAGGAATCTAGATACCTCAAAAAAGATTTGAATTTATATTCTATAGACAGGTTGCCTAAAAGTTAGATGCTCACGTTCAGCTTGGATTCAGCTGGGACATTTGTTGAAGCTGACTGGGAGGGGGAAATAACTTCTGCTGTAAAGCAACTGAAAGAGAAATGTTGGTATTTCAGTATAAATTATCAAGATATTTTAAAAAGATTGTTGCATGGATGGGGATCTAGAATGCGAAGCAAATGCAATTGCTGTTCTTGTAAATAACTCAAATATTAGTATCAAAGCTCACAATGATGTTTCTCCAGCAGGTCATGTCTGCTTTTTGTTGGATACAGGAGGCCTATTTGGTCTTAAGGAATTGTTAATGTACGATCAGAAAAAAAGCTTTAAATAAAATAGGAATATTTCACAATATACCATGCAATTTATATCATAACTAAGCATAAGAATTTTGACTGAAAAACTGTAAGAGTTAATCAGTTTTCTCTAGATTTGAAAGCTTTTAATCATGCAGTTCTTTACTGTGTCTTGACAGCATAAGACTAGTTGAGAGAGCTGTCTTTTTATTCACACTTTGACCAAATGCAGTGAGGTAGTAATCACAGTGTAGAACTAAAACTTACTTTCCCTATGGGTTTTTGTTTAGGTTAAAAAAAACCCCACCTTTAGAAGTAGGCTGTTTGAGGGGAATTAAAATTACTTTCAATTATATATTTTCCAAACTGATAAGATAATGCTGTGCATTTATATGCTGATGTACTGGAAGAGCCAGGCAGTACTTCAGGACATACTGTTAATTTATATTTTTGTTATGTGGTTTTTAAACCTGAAGTGGCGTGGTTTAGAGTTTTGTTTCAGTATTAAAGGATTGTGTTAAGTCGAAGATCATGTTTGAAATGAATTCAGTTTTACATTTTTAAATGTTAGAGGTTTTTTATTACTCTTTGTGTGTGCCGTAACACAAATAATTATTTTTGGAAGGGGGGAAGGAAAAGTTCTCCTTTTGTGAGAGACTTTTCCCAGGAGTGTCAGTACACAACGTCCTGAAGAATTGTCTGAGGCTTTACAGAGCAGAAGGTAACAATTGCTCTATTGATTCTCAAAAGACATAGAAGCTTGTAGGCAGGACCCCCATTATGATCTGCCTGTAAAGGAACTACGCCTTTTTACTGGGGTGTTTGTTAAAGATTACCAATCTTGATAATACTGAATTTCAAAAGCTAACTCTTTAAACTAGAAGAATAGCAGAAAGTGGTAACAATAGCTCAGTGACTATGGTCTCATATTGTGCTAGCTTTTGTAACCCATACATCAAAAGAAAATTTCCCCCAGAAGGGGTGGTTTTGGGTGCACTGCTGCTGAATTGTATATTATGTTTCAGCTTCAGGGTACAAAAACAATTATGTTTTGAAGTACAGTCAGCAGTAGGATGCAAAATCTACCTCCTGGAAGGCTTCTCAATTTTTGTCAAGTCCTATCCTAAAGATGTTATAATTAGAAACAGTGCTTTCCTGTGCTGAGAAATTGCTTGTCATTTGCTTAATTAGCTGCCAAGACTTCAAGATTTTAAACTGGAAAAAGAGAAATACAGACAAACCTAACTCTCCAGTTACATCGTACCAGTAGGTAAAGGAATACTGAACTTGGCTGGTTTTTCCCCATTTTCATAGAATATCATACTTCTTTTTTGCAGCTGATTCAACTCATCAAACAATATTGATCATCTGTTGCTATTTTTTTTGTTCTCATAAAATCAGAATATGAATCCCCCACTTCCGCCACCACCTCTCTTGTCTGCTGCAATCGTTGCATCGGCCTCTTCTGGACCTCAGTCTGCAGGTGTAATACAAAGGCCTACATCAGGATCAACTGACCAAATGGCACATTTACGACCACAAACTCGTCCAAGTGTGTAAGTAAAATTGAAACTTCTCACCAGTCAGAAACATGGAACGAAATCAGTAACTTCACTTGTACTTATATCATGCCAGCTGGCTATGTTCTGCTAGAATTCCCAGAAAGCCAAGCATACAACTCAGAACAAAAGCAACATAAAGGTGATATCCCCAAACAGCCTTCATACTGAGGGTTATTTATGTCTTAGGTAAATATAATCAGCTGTTGCTGTGTATAGAAAGGACTCACTTCAAAAATATAAAGTATTTATCATGCAGAAGATGAATGAATCCTTGAGTTAGCGATGAAGACTGTATAACTTGCAAGTGGCAAACTCTGGAGTGAATTTATTCAATGTTTTCTGTTATGTATGGAATAAAAAGGCTATTCTCGTATGGAATAACTTATGCCAAAACAGAGAAAGTGCTGTATTTCATTTAGACTGTTACATTAGCATGTCATTGTCAACTTGTGTAAGTTGCGATTGAAATTTGACTGAAGATTCTACAGTTCAGTTAATTAGTGGGTGGCAATTTGGAATGAAGGCAGAAAGCTGCTAGTTAGCATTATGTCTTCACACTTGTAATACAAGCAAATGTGCGTCATCCTTCTGGGTGAAAATATTGTGTATATTAACATGTGCTGCTTACAACATCTTTCTTCTTGGAAACTTCTTTGCGTGCAGCTTGAACGATAAAAGAAAAAATAAAATTCAGGAGTGGCTGAACCATCTAATAGGACACGTTTGAATAATGCAAGGACTGCTTTGTTCTGTGCTTGGAAACTTCTTTGCGTGCAGCTTGAACGATAAAAGAAAAATAAAATTCAGGAGTGGCTGAACCATCTAATAGGACACGTTTGAATAATGCAAGGACTGCTTTTGTTCTGTGTCTTTATCTTCCCACCAGGTTTCCTCCCACTCCAAAAGAGCGCCCTTCTTGTATAGCAGGTGCATCTGGATTTGGCCTGTTTCTTTGGTGTCAAGCATTTTAACACTACGTCTTATGGATTATTGTGCTTAGTGCAGTTAATCAAGTTCCCATCTCATTTATTCCCATCCTTCATCTTCAAAGCATTGCTCTATATGAGGATACTAATGAAATTTGGAATGATTTAACTAAAAAGGAAGTTAATGAACACCAATTAAAGCACATCAGTTGCTTTCCCGTAGAGCTTCAGTATGTGGCTTTGTAGGTCACCCCTAAATCATGTACCAGTGAAGCCTTTTGTTGCCAGTGTGTCATATGTTGCCTTTAAAGCATATTTTGGACTTGCTTTACCAGCTACCTATATTGCCTTTAAAGCATTTTTGCAAATAATGCAAAGTTTCCTGGGTGGACAGCGAGGAACAAAAATATAATGCAAAAAGGAGAAGCATACAGTTAATGCTATCATTACTGTGCACAGGAGACAATTTTGATGAGAGAATGTTTTGTAAAGCTGCTTTTTTACCCTTGGGGTAACAAAGGGAGTGGAAAAGACTAGCATTGCAAGTAATTGTGGATCCTTTTTCAAAAAAGGGGATATTCTACCCGTCTACCCTAATTGGCTACTTCTTGTGAAAAGTATATTCTTTTTGAGAAAATGCAATTTATTAGAATGCTATTTCCCACAGATCTTGATCCATAATTATATAAACATTTTTATATGAACGGTTTAAACAGTTTTCTTATGTTCAAACTGTGGCAGAAAATAGAGCACTGTGGTGGTTAAAACAGTATCACTTTTTAATGTGATAATAGGAAATTGTGCAATCTTATTTGAAGACTTCCCTAGGAATATTCCAGCATGCAACTGCAGGAGCTTCAGTTTTATTTTTACTTTTTTTTTCTAAGAATGTCTTTTTAAAAAGAAAAAATGCAAAATGTTTCTGAACTCACACCATGATTTCAGATGCCCTGTATTATGCATTAACGTTGCTCAGAAGGAAAAAAAGGAAATAACCTTTACAAGTGAATAACTGCTAGCTATCTTACCCATAGACTTCAAGTTCTAGTAACGTATCTGTTTTTTGGGCACTGCAGTTGCACAGGGAGATTCCAATTTTGCAATTTGAAATGTAGTTCTGATATTGATCTTTCACTCCCAACTAACAGAACTTCTCTGTGCTCCCCACCCCTCAAAAAAAAAAAGTTGGCATGTCACAAAGTGTGAGAACAGTATGTTGGATCAACTAACGCATAACCCTTTCTGCCATGCCTTCTCATCTCTGACTGAACTCTCTCTGCCAGAAAACACAAGTGATGTTTTCAATTGTTTTAGGTTTATCAATTGCATCTACTTTTCTGTCTTTTAGGTATATTGCTATATACCCTTACACTCCTCGAAAAGAAGATGAACTGGAACTGCGGAAGGGAGAAATGTTCTTAGTGTTTGAACGTTGTCAAGATGGCTGGTTCAAGGGAACTTCCATGCATACAAGCAAGATTGGTGTTTTTCCTGGAAATTATGTGGCTCCGGTTACCAGGTATATTTTTATACAAGCGTCTAAATAGTTTATCTAGTTTCAAGTCCAAAATTATTCTGTTCCTGTATTTAATGCTAAAATTGTATAATAGAAGAGCTGTGGGGTTTAGTAACTAGCTCATTTTTCAGTTGTGTTTTAGTGTTTTGCTTTTAATTTTGGCAGGACAGTGACAAGTGCATCACAAACAAAAGTTCCTGTGTCTACTGCTGGCCAAACGGGACGAGTGGTAACTATGGTCAGCCCTTCCACTGCTAGTGGAACATCTCAGAAGCTCCAGGGGAATGGTGTGGCAGTGAGCTCCAGCACAGTACCCACAGCTGTGGTTTCTGCAGCGCATATCCAAACTAGTCCACAAACCAAGGTCCTTATGCATGTGACAGGACAAATGACAGTCAACCAGGCTCGCAATGCAGTTAGAACAGGTAAAAAAAAAAAATAAAAAAGCTTTTTTTATGTGGTAGACAAACTGTAGGGTCTGTCTGGGCAAGTGGCTGGAGTCAGGGTATGTGTAAATATGTGTTGGGTTTTTTTAAGGCATTTTTAATGTCGTTTTTTAGAGTTGAATGCTTTCTGAAATGCTAATATATCTCTCTGAATTGTTGAATCTTTTATTATTCTCCTCTAAGCAACTGTGTGTATGTACATACTCCTACTATTGGGAATTTATACGCAAGTACTTTAGGTGGAATTTTTTTTATTCCAGCAGTATCTGGGATGGGGTTATTCTTTGAGCTTCCTCACTCGTATGCAATTCATATAGTAATAAAAGTGATAAGAACACCTAAGTCATAGCTTATTTTTTCGTGTTACCTGCATAACAGCTACAGATTGCTCTGATTTAGTATTCACTTTTAAATTCTGTCCTAACATCTTTGAAGACCTTTAGCATTCATTCCTTCTTTTTCAGGGCTCTGGCTCAGGGTTGGTCCTTAGGTATCCTAGTTTGTTCTCTAAACTTCACTGCAACTTCTTTCAGCTTTGACTCTGAGACACTAAGGCTATACTGGCTTCAAGATCCATACCATCTATGTCATAAAATTCTGTATTTCTGACAGGTATAACTCTGCCTTTACTGTCTGGGGCAGGCCACCTCATAATGAAACATGCCCTCTGGTTATTTAAACCCAGATCCAAAAACACTGATAGTGGTGTTTTAAAGAGTTTTTGTTTATCAAATCCATGCACTCCTCTGTGGATTTGCCAGGCTAGGAAAATACCAAACAACTGGAGCCTAATCTGTTCCAGTTGCTCCTAGGGCCTCAAAAGAAAAGCAAAAAAAACCCCCCTCCATTTCAAACTATCCCAATGTTCCCTCTTTCAGCCTTGAATTTGGGGCCCAAGATCTCTTGGCTGAGAGAGCTGTGACCAAAGGTTTTCTTAATCACGAGATTCTTATTGGCAGAGCAGAAGAGAAAGCAAAAGATGCAAATGGTATTACCTGTTGTTCCCTTAAGGATGATTGTTTCTTATAGTCTCAAGATCCATGAATTAGCCCACCCCCTCTTCAGTCTTATCCATCTCCTTAAACACCCTATGCATGTTCAGATGTCAGCACCAAGTTTGCTTTTGGAGGTAGGATATGTACATATGTGTTTAGATATTTTATTTCCTTAATTGGCCGCATCTTCCTCCAGTCTGATCTTAGGCTGGAACAGATGCGATAGTCTTCTGTAACAACTTTATTCTTTACCTTTAAATAACAATAACCAGGTGCTATTGACAGCTGGTAAGAGAAACTAAGCAAAGCATCTGTACTTTCCTGCCTCTCGGGCATAGGAGTTTTTTACTCTAAATCCTTCTTTTGAGCTGTCTAGAAGCTTGCAAGTGACAGCACAAAGGAGAAAGCTCCTGTGGGCTCCAGAGGCCTCTCTGTCCCTGCATCTCTGCACCGCTGTCAAGATGAATAAGCTCTTACAGTTCCATTCAGCTGGAAAACATGACAACATACTTCCCACCAACTTTTCAGGTCCAAAATGGAAAAATCAAAGGGACTGCACTCTTTTCACAGAGAACTTAACATTGGGTTGTGGTGTAAAGGTGTACTTCAGTCACAAATACAGATCTGTCCCTTATAAGGGCCTGAGAACTGAAGCAATAATGGCTGCTTTATGTTCAAATGTTACAGAGAACTTTGTAGTCAGCATCTGAAACGTGATCATCTTGAGCTTTCCCTAGCGCCTTTGCTGAGTGTTACTCTCTTGATGAGGCTTCACAGATCAATGCTGCATTTTGCAGGGCTGTTCTTCAATTTCAGTTTAGCTCAGGACTTCAAGGATGCTTCTTCAAATGATCTTAGTGCGACATTGCTTGACATCACCCTCACTGAGGGGGTATGCATTCTTTGATTGAAAGGAACTGGGAAGAAAATGTATATTCTGCCTATTTCATTAAAGGATGAACTGTATGAAAATAGGGTGACTTGAAGCATTTTTCCTACGGATTCCATCAGGAATAAGAAAACAAAACCAGAAAGCTATTCCATGCTTGTACTCCATTGATTGCATGTAAGTATAGACATATCTTGAAGAATAGCAGCTACGCGTAAGAAAACTGTCTCATGAACAAAAGGCAGCGTTAATAACTGTTTTTTACAAAAAATTTTGCTGCACTCTCCTTATCTTCCTTTTTGAAATGTTCATGGTACTCGGAAAGGGTCTGCTACAGGGGAAGAGGTTACATATCAAAAAACAGACATAGCGTTTAGTGGTGCTTTCTTTTTAAGAAAGGATTTATGTTTCTTATCTTAGAGATGGTAATTGGGTATAATACTGTAGGATTGTTATATCAAATTTGTGAACTGTGTCAGTCTTCTCTAATATACTGTTGATGCAATTTAACCAAATTACCAGGGGAATTTGTAGAGAGCAGAATAAAGTGAGCAAGTGCTGGAGTCCTGACTCTAGGATATCACTTATAACAAGCCCAAAACTCTAACCAGTATCTGAAAAATCAGAGTGAATTGATACATTTGAGATGTACATGCACCAAGCTACAGGGATGACCCCTCCTTAGATACTAAGTTTCAGAGTATTTGAAGGAAAGAGGCTGTGCAGCACTAGGATGCTGCCTTTTGCCTCATATTATTCGGGTAAGATGTCTGTACTTCATACCATCCAGTGATGCAGAGATATCCAAGCTATTGAAATGACCCAAAAGCACGTATGGTTGACCATATAACTATAACAGCAATGTTGCTTCTTGGAAAGGATAAATTAGTACATGCAGAGCTCTGTGCTTTGCAGCTAGGCTGCAGCCCAGGTTAGTATATTCAGCCCTGTGCTATTCTCCAACTTCCAGTGTAGATGTTCCTTTTATTTCACAGGGGTATGAGTAAATCCACTTCTATATTTAAACATCCCAAAAGACAATAGCTCACGTTTTCAGAGAAACCACTCATAGCAGTAATTGCCACTGTACTTATTGTTTGAAAGACACGCTAAATCTGTTGTGGATTTTGTGAGTAGTTTAGGGAAAACAATCCAATTATATTTTTAGCAGCTTCTATATGGAGTGTTTCTTCCTACTTAGTTTTATGTGCCCTGACAACTACACAGCATATTAAAAGGGACAAACAAGTTCCAGGCAGGATTTAGCTAGCTCTTATGAAATAAAATGTAATCTTGACTTTGCACCTCTGTCTGTAGGTGAAGCATTTTACTTAGCAGCTTAGATTTCTCCTCAGTAGTTGCAGTGCTGTTATTCTTCTGTTCCATACTGGTGCATATGCTACTTCTTTATTCTGGTGAGATAAATTTGATGCTGTGTAAGATGTCATTGTAGTAATATAAATGGAAGTTATGAAGGTAGGAAGGAAGCTTCTTATGACTGATTAGCTATAACACAGTGACTGTACCTCACTTTGTGTGTCTTGTGAAAAGATGAACTCTCTCACATTGTATTCTTTTGTTCTAGTTGCTGCACACAGTCAAGAAAGACCTACGGCAGCAGTCACACCCATACAAGCACAGAGTCCAACATGCCTTGTTCCTGCAGCTGTGATCATTCCCCACCACTCTGTTGCCTCCCAGCAGCTCCAGCCCCAGCTTCCAAATACTGCTGCTTACGTCACGGCTGTGAATGTGAACCGCTCAACCATCCCACTGGCATGTGCAGCAGCTTCTTTGAATTCTCCCAACATTGCTGCTTCATCTTTGGAGGGAGATATTAATGGGAGAACTGTAAACACTCACCCTGGAGCTCCTGCATCTCCAGAGAGTGCTTTAGCAGCTGGTGGAAATACTGCTGTCAATAAAGCAGACAAGGATGGCAAGGTGGGTAGGGAATAAAATCACTCCCTTGAATTCTCCCATTTTCATAATGCAAACTTTTAAAAGATCCCTATGTTTTTCTTATATTTGCTGAATAGCAGCATTGTAAGGTTTTTAAGACTGAGCCTGAAACTCAGGCAGCCATTTTGTGACTACAGCTATGGGCAAATTTATCCTTGGCCATACAAGAATAATTTAGGATGGATAAAATACAGAGCAGACCTTGGAGAAGGGTTAAAATAGGGTAGCAGGTTCATGCCTTAAGCAGGAAAAACAAAAGGTGAATGGATAAAGTTCAGAACTATTAGATTGACTGTTGGAATGTAAAGTATTTTGTTTTTCTTCACCTGCAGTCAGTTTCCTGAATACTTTAGAAAGTTGTATGGTTAGCAAATGTTACCAGTAAATATCAGTAAGTATCTGTAAACTAAAAATCCTGTAATGCAAAAAAAAAAAACCCAAACAAAAAAAAAAAACAACCAAACATGAACTTGCGGGAGCAAAAAAAGTTCAGTCTAATAAAATAAACCTAATATTTAGTGTAAATCAGTATTCTTTCAGGTTGTCTTCCTTATTAAGCAGACACACTGAGAGATTATGAAAAAGGCATTACCAGCAATGTTTATTAGACAAAGAAAAAAACCCACATTAACTCTGTCTTTTCTAAACGTAGATCAGTAGAGTCTGTAGTGATTCTGCTTTTTTTCCTTCTATTTGAAGTATTTTCCTCTGTGTCTGAACTCATTCTCACTGTCCAACAGGCCATGTAATTATGTTCTATTGTAGGCAGGGATTCCTCCAAAACTCTAACTGGTTTTATTTTACAATTGTGGTGTAGTTAGAATTTTTTTTCTCCTTTTGACAAATTTCTTTACATCTCAAATGTTTTAGACTTTACGTTACTACGTTTCACCCACATGTGCTCCTTAATGAAGTTTATGAAGGTTTTAATCATAGAGTGTACACTAATGTCACACACTTTTTAATTATTTTTGTTGATTACTGTTGAATGGAGGTACCTAGAACTTTGTTTTAAAATTACTTTAGCCATGGCCACTGAAATCAGACCGAGATGCCCTTAGGCAGGGCTTTTAGAAAACTTATTTATAGTTTAAGGTTAAAGATGCTAACATATTTGGACTATGTTAATTTCTTTGAGTTTCTCTTTTTCTTTCCCATTTGCTAGACAGCAGTTCTTTGCTGAAATAGCTTTAAGTTATTGGAGACTTGGAAGAAGGACAGAGGATTTTTCATTCACAGTTCACCAATTCCACTGCATCCCAAGCTATAATAAAAATCTCACATTGCTCATGCTTTTCTCTTTCTGTGGTTAAATAGCTTATTTTTGTCTCCAGGGCTTACAATCTGGCACCTCTCATAAACACTAAATTCACTCAGTCAAAGGGTTGGTAAGAAGATCACTGCCACACCCCTTAAAAAAAAGACAAGAAACACAAAAGCTACTTAAATAATTCTCTTCAGGGTAAGTAATAGTCTTCAGGGATTCCTGTCTGGACAAGCAAAAAGAATGTTTACAATTCTCCCCTCTAGCAGAGCAGCAAAACACAATACATTCCCCTTGTGGCAAATTTCTTTTAAATCCTGAAGGTCTTCCCTTACTGAGTGAGGATAAATAAAAGACACTTATCTAAACAGCAGTCTCTAGGGCAGACTTTTCTCCCTGCTCGGTTTGAAATGACTCTTTATGCCTTCCTAGAAACGTCCATGTTAATGAAATGTTTTACTTCTTAGATTCCCATTGTGGGAATCGTAACTCCTCACACCTTTTTCTAGACAACCTTTTGGGCCAGTGCCATTGGCTTTTAAGGAAAGCCTTAACTTAACTAACTAAGTGAAAGGACTTAGCCAGTTTATGGTCTAAATGACTTATTGTTTTTCTCTTTAGAATTTTAATAATTATCTTTCTCTTTTATAATTTTCATAATTATCTTTTGTAATTTGTACAGTTTCAAATATCTCCTCATAATTTATCGAGTCCTCTCTGGTCAGGATGGCATCTATCAGAAGGAAGTGGTCAACTCTTCACGGGAGACTTTTGTTCTAAAATGAGGCACTGCTTTTGGTTTACAGAAAGAAAAAAAAGGTTTGCTGAAACTGCTTTCTGGAGCATCCACGAAACGCAAGCCCCGATTGTCGCCTCCAGCATCACCAACACTGGAGGCTGAGCAAGCAGCCGCAGAGTTAGCCCTGCAAGGTGCAGTTGGGCCAGAGCTTCCGTCAGCAGGCAGTCACAGCAAAGCTGGATCCTGTCCCACTGACAGCGAGGTCTCTGGGCTGGCACAGGAGACACTGCATCGGAAAACAAGTTCCCTGGATTCCTCTATTCCAGTAGCACCACCACCTCGGCAGCCTTGCTCATCCCTGGGTCCGGTCCTGAATGAATCCAGGCCTCTTGTCTGTGAAAGGTAAATTACCCTACGCAGCTAGACTCAGGCAAACCAAGAAAAAATCCACTCGCTGACACTTGCAGTGTATATTAGAACTGCTTCAAAATGCTGAGATTTTATAGCAAAATGAAACTTTACTTTTTTTAACAATGCTTTACATGCTTATCAACCAACACTCATGTTTATGTTTACTTTTTGTGTTACTTTGAGGTTTTGGAATGAATAGACACTCAAATATGGTGATCACAGGTCTGGTATGAGAACTGAGGTAGATAAAATAGGCCTCTTATTTTGCAAAACATGAACACATTATAATACTGCATTTATGAATATCAGGTTAGTCCTTTAAGATTATTAGCAGTGCATAACTGCCAACCTAAATACATGGTGAATGAGATCCTTATCTATAAGTAGACTTAACGTGATTTCTTGAACTGTTGCAAAGATACTTTTACTACCTGAATGCCCCATTACTGTGCACTCCACATAGCAAGCTCTAGGGCAGCCTCTGTGACCTGGCAAGTAAGCCTGAAAAACACATAGTTGTCTGGACTCTGAAACTGCCAGGCAGTTGCTTTAACGTTCTGTCACTTGTCTTTTGTGTCCACCCATTATTTTCAAATTTCCAAGTCCTTAGTAGATTGCACAGACTGTGAAGGAAGTGGCAGTTTTCTAACTACTGTCTCTTTTTATTATTCCTGGTAGAAAAGCAATATGAAGAGTGTCACAGGATTTCTTTTGCAGTAGCTACAGGATTGTGTGGCGTACAGGAAAAAAATAGTGCAGTTGCAATGTTAACAGCTCTAGGACTGAACTGATTCATGCTGACTGTAGACTTTGTTCTGATACTATTAACTCATGGTGTGTGGGCATACTGTTGTATTTCGAGAGGCCCATTGATCTTAAGCTACATCTATGTATTAAGAGCCAGACAGTGTGTAAGTTTCTACTTCGTCTTTTATTTGGCTTCTGTCATACCTTTAATATTTTTTAAAAGGTTATTACTGTTTCTATGCAATTTCCTTGCAGGAAATTTCTATTTCATACTGAATTTCTGAAGTAGATTTACACTTACAGATGGAAAATAAAAACTGAAAGACTTTTCTTTAAGAATAACATAATTTATTTTCACATTAGCATAAGTCTGGCACAGTAATATGTTTTTGTGCTTTGAATGTGAAAATAATATCAAATTCCTTCTGGCATGAGCAGTGGATATTTGTGTAAAGCTATTTGCATCTTCACAAAAAATAATTTTTTCACTTCTGTGATGGAGATTTTTTTTCTCAGAACGACTTTAAAGAAAATGATGCTGTATATTTTTATTGATCTAGTAATAACATGCACTCAAACCTTCTTTTTAACGTATCTCTGTATCCTTACTGTTATTTAAGTAATTGCTACCAGAGAGGTGCTACCACAAGATCATTCTCTGTGGTATTCATGCAGAATTGTTATATTTTGGTCAGTGTATTTAAATAGAATTTCATCTGGGTTCTCTTTGTCCTTTTCAGGGCAGGGTTAGTGCTTTTTCTGCTGATGTGCTCTTGTCGTGTTTCCATCTCTTTAGGCTGAATTGCTTAAAATATGCTGCTTAATAATACTTACCATTTACATTGTGGTACATTAATATCTTCAAAGTAATTTATAAGCATCAATTAATCTTCATTACTCTGTAAGAAGGGGTGGGTAAGAAACATACTTACGATGCAATAGTATCTTCAGTGAAAATTTGGGGTTGAGGAGGAAAATACGAGGATAAGCTTAACAAAAAGCTGAAGAACAGAGAAATCTGCTAAAATTATTCTGCTCTTAGGTATCACATTTCCAATCACAGGCTACGATCTGTTTGGAAAAAGAAACAGTACTCTTTCTGTTCTGACTCTGGCTTTGCAGTATAATTATTAGTGTTCAAGTTTTATTTTCAAAGGTGACTAGAGGATTTAGGAGTCAGGTTCTGCTGATTATTCTGTGTGAATTAGGAGCAAAAGTAGCTGGCTCAACCCTGGAAAGCACTTGAAAATGTTCCTGGTTTGGATACAGAGTTTTCCCTGAAGTCCTTGCTTCCTTTAAGATGCAATAGCAAATTCTTATTCTAATCTCACTGTTTCTCCATTCACTAGAATTGCAAGTTGTCTTAGAGTACCTCTTTCCTGTATGTTCTACAGAAAATTGGAAGTAAAAATTGTGAACTTGTTTCCAATGATAGAGAATAAATGGATGGACATTTGATTTGTTTGATAGCAAACAAGCTCTTTGTGGCATGGATTTGCAGATGTATACTTAATACTGGTGACCATTTCTCTAAAGGAAGGGAAGATGACAACATTCCCTTCCATCTTACTATTGCAGGTCTTCTCTGTAGCAAGCCAGTAATTTAGTTCCATTCCTGTATTCACTGTTCTCCTGTGAACTAGGCTGGTTGTTCACTGTGGTCCATGGTCCTTCATATGTTCCTTGTACAGAAGGAACAGAGAAGTTAAACAGAAATTTCAGCCAAGCCTTGCTTCCAGTTTGGAGCAGTTTGGAGAATTCTTGTCACCTGAGACTTTTCAGTGGTGTTTGGTAATTTCTTCTGATTCTCCAGCCAAGACACAATTTGTCTTGGGGTGCTGTGATTTCTTGATTGATGCAGCACTGACAGGGCCAAGGATCACTATCTTTTCATTAAAAAGAGACCCAACTCCCTGCAATTCCTAGAGGGAGCCATATTATGCTATGAAAACAGAGTAATTTGGTTATCTGAGGGGTTTAGTTTTTTCCATGTCAAGAGGTAAAAGACTATTTCAAGCTTTTTTCATGAGCTTTCTCTTTTAGAGGGAAACATTGGTTAAATAGCCTTAAGTTTTACAGTAAATGTACCCAGCACCCCACAATGGTGTTAAAGACCTGAAGTTGAACCTCAGTACACATCACTGCATATCCTAAACTATAATATTAATCCTTCATCCAGTTACAGTGAAGGACAGCAGTAGTTTTGTTCTGTGATTAAAGTGACCCTACGTTATTTTATCCATCACAAAATGACTGGTGTAACATCTCCTGCCAGTGAGCAGGCCAGTGGCTTTAGAGGGCAGCAGGTTTTATCGCATCTGCCAGCATTTAATGCTGTTTAATTAAATGCTGAGAATCAGTCTGCCCTAGATGGGCATTGATTATCTGTAGGAGTCAAGGCACCTACTCAGCAGACAGGAGAGCTGCACAACAGCAGGGCATAGGTGAGCTGAAAAGTAAAAATTCAAAATGTAAGAAAAAGAAACTAAAGCAAAAAGATGAATAATAAGTATGACTTTAACTTGTGTGATAATAGTAATTCCAACTTTCTGTGTTTTCCTCAGCTAAAATTTTCTACATATAAGAAAATATTTTTATCCACTTGGTGATCAGGAAAACCACAGATAATTGTCCAAAAATCAACTACAAATAGCTGGGAAGTATTTTGTGTCTAATGAAACAGAAGCAATGAAGAAAGGGAGAAATACATGAAAGATATGATCTTTTTCATGCTACTGAAAAGTGTGAGAATGCCAATATTAAAAATGAAATGTAGAATGGAGAAATGTGAAGACAGACCACCGCCGCCACCACCCCCCTCCTAAAAAAAAAAAAAATTCACAAAGTGCAAGAGCACTGTGGGATACAGCCAGACACATTAGGAATATCAGGAAAGAACTGATGGCAAATATAATGGCTGCTTCTGGGAAGCTAAAGTACTTTTATTTTTATAATATTAATATTTTGTCAGTAACTGATTAAAAAGAGTTAGGATAATATTTTGAAAATTAATGAAAAATACCATAAGCCAAAGAAAATAGAAAGATGAAAACGCATACTGTGCAGCTTAGGTGCATGTAAAATACTGTAGATTAGGTGACCACAAAAGATCTGCAAATTTGACCTTCAGACATTGAAAACATTTGCAAATACCGAATAGGGAGATAAACAAGGAAGTGTTTTGGAAGATTCAAACATGTGGGAATGAACATGTTTTTCCAAAACATAGGTCACGCTTAGTAAATGTGATTGTTTTTCTCCAGGGACCTGGCAATCAACTTTTGAGCTGAAGTATAAGCTTTTTACTCTGCATGAAATTGGTAGTTTTGGCAGTATGTTGTAGATGATGAAATACGTAATGGAAAAATAGTTTTTGTTCCATAGCTGAGCGAAGGTGATCCGAATAGACAGCTGTGTGAATGTGTGATGAGTCTGGATCCGATCACCTCTATTTGGGCAACTAGAATTTGTAAAATGTGGCATAAAATTTGATGGCTTATTGTAACAAAAGAAGGAGGAGATGTGATTTAAAGGTGCAAAGCCTGATGGGTTTCTTCTCCTTAAACATTGAAAAAGATAGTAAAATAGCATTTTAACACCAGGAGTGTTGTGCAAAGTAGTCAGGAAGCTAAAAGTTAACAAGAAGTACTAAATTACTGCAGGGTTGAGGAAGTTCAAAACTGTATGGAAAGCTCAGGAGAGCTCAGGAGAACAGTATTTCTGTGCAAGCTGGTGATCCTCTAGGGAGGGCAAAGAGAAGATGGGTTTCTGCAAAGCTGTTGGTTTTAACACTCAGAAGCAGAAGCTAGGGAAAGAACAGACTAATCTTATCAATGCAGGAGTGCGCAGAGGTTACTGATGGACAGCATTAGAAACTGAAACCAAGTGTATTTCAAGTCAAGTGTTTACAGACCAGCATTTGACAGAATGCAAGGTAAGAAAGGTAGGTATTCTTTCCTGAAACCCATTTGTTAAGGGCTTTCTTTTGGATAAAACTAGTGCTATGTGTGTGTTAGGTAGTGTGCTTGTTAATTTTCAGCCTGAAGGCAACCTGTTTATTACAATAGAAGAATTTCTTCATAGCTTTATTGCAGTTCTTTATCCTTTACTATCTTGTCCTGCCTGAGTAAAGGCTAGTTTTATTTCACATAGTTTACAGTCTTAATTAAACTTACAGTCTATTAAAAATGTTTGCTTCTTATGTCCTAAGTTAGCATTAAAATCCAAGTGGCCCACAGTAGAACTTAGTGCAGGCATCTACACTGGGTTGGATGAGGAGCATTCTGAAGCTGATAAATCTTGTAATTGGCTTGGTAACTTCTATGAAGCATGAATCTAATAATTCCAATGCTCTGAAATCTGGGGATTGTCATAACTGAAACAAAGTCATAGTTTATAAGTCACTAATAAATAATATTTGACAACTGATTAAGTCCTAATACAATTTGCTATACATAGATTTCCCAAGAGACTTTAATTATTTACACAGTGCTGCTACTCTTTTCTGAATACTTCTAACTATATGGACAGACTTCATTTTTGGTTTACATGTCTTAAGCAAAACGTACTACTATAATATAGTTTCTTTCTCCATTTCAGTATTACAGAATTAACTTGTATTATTATGTGTGTATTGAGCTACAGTCGGTATTCCATCCTTTACTAGAAGTACCCTGTTGTTTTGTGTTTTCATCAGGCTGTTAATATGTTATCTTAATCTATTAAGTTAGTAAATTGACTTAAGATTATTAAGATAATAATTTTCTTAACCTATTAAGTAATATATAATCTTCATGAGTGCAAAGTGTCCTGATTAACTGGAAATTAGATTTTGTCCAACAGATCTCCTAGCACTGCATTTAAGGCTCTTAAGCTTAGAAGCTTTTGAATTCTACAGTCAGACATGGATTCTATTTGATTTTAACATGCAGACATTACTAGTTGTGTAACTAGAAACTTGAGTTATAATATCTATCAGAAAACTTGATCAAGAAGTTGACACAATTGTCTACAGAGCTGTAACGAATTTTAGGTTGATGTGAACTCAAACTATGGTAGAAGAGATTGAGTGGTGTTATGCATGTTTAAAAATAGAGATAGAAGGCTGTAGCCTATTTTTAATGTGCTCATATTTGAAAAGTGATTTTACTGTGAAAAACTGAAAAAATACTTTTCTTTTTGTATCACGTGCTTAAGAAAATTATTGAGTTGACCACTTCTAAAAATGTTTATTTTTAATACAGTAGTGCACAAGTTGTGCAACTGTGTCCAAATAGGATGGCATGCATTCTATCCTGAAAAGCTTCTAAGAAAAATGAAAATAGTTTAAAACAGCAATGCAAATTAATATGTTTTGTTAGTTGTTTCTTTTTGTTCTGTGCCTTTCCTTAAGAGTCTTCCCTGGGATAATGTCATATTACACATACAGTCATAAAATTATGCCCAGTTACTGCTGCGAATGCTTTGATTATTTTTGAGTCACGCTGGCTGGAAGAGTCTGCAAATTTATATCCAAAAATATGTCTACAATTTTCTCCTGTTATGTAACCATTTTATGTATTTTTACAGGGATCTTGGTGAAAAAAACTTGACAGGAGATGCATACATTTGCCTTAAATTCATTACATTGCTATTGTTATTGTCTGTTCAAGACGTACTTAACTTTTAAGTTGTTACGTACTCAGCAAACAGTTCCAGGCAGTTTCCTGTTTTGATAAGTTTTAACACGCACAAGAATATTTTAAAAAGCATTGGTTTAAAAAAAAAAAAAGAACCTAAACAAAGGTGGTTTTTTTTAATTACACAGGTACAGGGTTGTGGTGTCCTATCCTCCTCAGAGTGAAGCAGAACTTGAACTTAAGGAAGGTGACATTGTTTTTGTACACAAAAAACGTGAGGATGGCTGGTTCAAAGGCACTCTGCAACGAAATGGAAAAACTGGCCTGTTCCCCGGCAGCTTTGTAGAGAACATTTGAGAAGATTCATTCCAAGAGCTTCAAATCATACTGTACTGTAAAATAGCACAAATATTTTACCAGAAAAAGCACAGTCATGAAATATTTTCAAATGACTGCAATGGAAACAAAAGTCTACATATTTTTACAGTGTCTATAGCACAATTACACCAGCGAACAAAGAAGATGAAGGCATCTGCTGGTTTTATCACTTTGGATTCTTAAGTGTGATGTGTGCCTTGTACTGTCTGATTTATTATATAGAGGAACTTTTTTTCCCCAAGTATGTTACATAAATGAACAATTGTTTACAAGGCTGTAACTAATTTATTCTTGTTTTTTTAAACTTGAATTTTGTGTAATAGCTAAAATTCTTGTGACTATGATTTTAACAAATTATTAATTTATGAAAGAATAACTAAGGGGAAGCTGGATTCTCTCCTTATGAGCAAGCAATTATATCTGATATAGAGCCTCCCATTTATCCTCTGGACATTTTTCCCCTGCTGTGTCTGACAGTGGAGTAAGTCTCTGTTTTATGAGTTAATGTTGAGTGGTGGTGATGTGGCGTCAAATAGAATTTGCCAAGTGGGGAAAAAATGTATATTTTGTTCTTTGGACAGAGAAAAAAAAAAAGTCAGTGGTGTTCTTGAGTCTAGTTCTACTTCTTCATAAATCACCCAAGTAGAGTAATGTTTCCAGGAGGCAAAGATGTATGTGAACAACTGAATAAAATTCAACCATCTCAAGGTTAGGATCATCTCAAGGTTAGGAAGAAATTTAGGAGTGCCAAGAAGAAATTCCCTATACCTTCTGTTTATGTAATAACTTGGCTATTTGAACAAAGCTTAGCTTTGTATATTTGGCCAGCTCTTTGGGCATTTAGCGCTCAGGATCCAACAAAATTGGAAGGAATGTTAAAGCCCAACACTTAGAATGATTATATCTTGAAAACATCTGTTTGATAAGACTGAATCTAAAAATAAAATTATAAGTTGTACTTAATGTCTAAAAATGCCTAAGAAGTGTAATTTGCTATGTTTTCTTCTCAAACTGATCTGCATGGCCAAAAGATGTTTTAAAATGTCTGAGCAATAGTGGTGGTAAGTGATGCACTTGTGTTAAAGTAAAAGGCTGTATGAAACACTGTGAAAATTTTACTAACTTCTTAACCATTGCTACTTTGGTATGTTCTGACCTTTTCTTTGTCTTGCATGTGTTACTCAATTCTTGCAGTAATATAACGGTGCATGGTTGGCATTTTCCATTCCAATTTCCTGTTATTGGGTTATTTTGCTCTGAAAGTTTCCCAAAAGCCACTTGACCAAAACTAGTGAGCAACTCACCTTCAACCAGAGGTGGTGTCCAGTGTTTGAATCATTAATAAAATATTTTAATGTCCTTGCAGCTGATGGATATAAAGAATACAGCCTGCAAGAAAAGTGTTGTTAGTCTTTCAGGGTTTTGTTGGAGATTTGACACTGGTGAACACACACGCTACTCAGCTGAACTTTTTTTTTTAATTTTATTGTTTGATTCTAGCAGTTTAATGGTGATTTTTTGCAAGACACTGAGCACCGTCATCTCCAGTTAAATCTGATGTAATTTGGCTGTTACTCAGCACTTTACAAAGGGAAGCCAGTAGTGTGATTCAGTGTCGCACCGTACACGGAAACAGTGATGCAAAAGTACACAGTGATGTGTTAAATCCTTATAATTTTTTTTTTTAAGTTATACATTGAAAAATATCAAATGTTAATGACAAGGATTTCTTGCAATATCAGGTAGTATCATGATGGTCTTAAAAGTAAGAAAAAAAAATCTATATATATAGTTGGACATTACAGCATTCCCAAATTAACCATTTCTCTGAAACACTGTATAATTCAGTTTTTGTGTGTTTAAATATTTTTAAATAGTTTACTTGAATATTCATGTAATATATAAAGGTTTTGTGAAATGAATTTTAGTTAGAAAGAAGCTGATTTCAGCTTTTGTCAGCATAAATTGGCACTAGTGTGTCATAATATTCTTATTTTGGAAAACTTAGTGCATTTTATATTAAAGACTACTAAAGGTTAATTTTTTTCTATCTCTACTCTCCATATTTTAAACTAAGTGACTAAGGTACCTCTATTAATAGAATTTTGTGGTGTAAAGTCAGTTAAAAATCAGCTGTTAATCCAATAGTTCTGTTAGATGGAATACATTTTTAATTGATTTTTTTTTAACGTTAAGTAAATGTTTGTAA